AAATATTTTAAAAAATACACTTATTTGTTTTTAAACATGTCCTTATTAGTCATTTAATGTTAAACAACAACCGCTAACTATTGTATAACCAAACAGTTATATTTATCGAATCCGTTATTTACTATCCATTACCGACTTTCCGCTATCCGCTAACCGCCACCCGCTATCCGCTATCCGCTACCCGTTATCCGCTACCCGTTATCCGCTATCCACTGAATTTTAACCACTGTACCAAACAGGCCCTAAGTATGATAATCTATTAAATGTATACTACTTAATTAGTGGTTAGTGCCTTGGGGTTTTGTCATAAAGTTATAATCATTAATTTTTTTTTTTTGTTCTTTAAAATTTTGAACAATCAGAGCATTCTTACTTAGAAGAAAAATTATGCTAATATCATTTTAGTTGAGTAGTAATTTTGCAACTAGGATAATTGTTTTTGAATTAAGACCATGAACATTTAATTGTACATAATTGATTTTTGCTTTTGTCCTTTTTTTCTCACGTTTTCTTTTTAAAGTTATGTTAGTGCATTTAATAAAAAAATAGGAGTACAATTAAACTACAATATACACGGGAATTTATTCTTAAATTCAAATAATTTTTTATTATATATTTTTTGATATTTACCCATATAGTTGTTGGAGGAAAATATAATATTGATAATAAAAATAAGAAAAAGATAATCATTACTAGAGATTGAATTTAGATGAAGTGAGATAAAAATTTGAAATTGAATTTAGGAGAAGAAAATTGAAATTGAAAAGGATAATCACTATTGGAGATTGATTTTAGATTCGGTTATATAACAATTTGAAATTAGAATTAAAAATAGATTTGATGAGATAACAATCTGAATTGAACGTAGCAAAGAAAAAATTAAAATCAAAAAGTATGTTATAATGAAATTAATTGTGAATTCAAATAAACAATATGATAAAAGGAATTTTGAATCTCAAATAAATAGTATAATTTAAAAGAGCATTTCATTATAAGATTCAAATTAGATTTAAGTAGGATTTTAAATTGGGTTTATCTTAAAATTTAATTTTAAAGAAAAAATTAAAATTAATTGGTGAATAAAAGAGTTATTTAGACAACAATAAAATTTCATTACCTTTACACTCATTTTTCAATCTTTAGGCCTTAATGCATTTTAAGTTTTAATGGCAGCAAAATTATAAATAGCATTGCTTGGTTCATGAAAATAGGAGGAAAAAAAAAATGAGAGAAGTGTTTTTACAAGAAAATCATCTATGTAAAAACTAAAAAGTGTTTTTCTTCTAATTAAATCAATAGAATTAATTTATCAAAATATAATCATGTTGAAAGGTTTCAAATCTCAAAATAATTGACAATATCTCTAAAACAAAATTAAACAATGAAATCCCTTAAGAAATCAAAATAAAATAATTAGTCAAACTCAATCGTCAAAATCCCCTATAATCATGTTGAAAATTTAGTTATGTCTTGACATGATTTTCTCCTCCTTCGGTTTAAAAAAAAAAATTGATGAAAAATTAAGAAGGGAAAAGAATTTTAATCTTAGTTCCTAAGATCCCTATTTATATTATGACTGTTTTGTAGCAGGAATTAACAACCTTTGAAAGAATTAATTTTTTTTTTCTTCGACGTACACTCCAATTGAAACAAGGAGGTAGGGTGCGACACCTCTCTTGTGTCTGGCCCTTATACAATTTTAGCGATCAAGAGTTGAAACCTAGAGATAGAATGTGACACCTCTTTTGTATTTGACCCTCATGCATTTTGATGATCTTGGAGCCTGGAGATAGGTTATAACACCTTGTTTGCACTTAAGACATTTATCTTTCAATTTTTCCCATTTAATCATTGAACTTTCAATCAACAAAATTTATACAATTAATAAAATCTACAATTATAAAATTATTTATAAGAAAAAATGCTACTATTAAGTCCATAATTTTACAGATGTCAATTGTTGAGAATACTTTAAATATACGTTTTCATGCTTTCATCAACCCATTGCTCGAAAACCTTTCTCAACAAAGGAATCTCACCCTTTTCAATACTCAACAAGAGTGGATGGACTCTTACTCATCACCTTGTAAGGATTAGTTTAAACCACACCACATATCTAATTTTGTTAACACATTTATAATAGATTGCAAATATAGGAGTTTGGTTTGGAGTAGAGCAAAATCTTATATCAATTTGAAATTACCTAAAATAATTCTCATATAAACATTGATATTCAAGTTGGAATCTAATTTGGTAACCAAATCTCACAAGACCTCCAATTCTTCATGAAATTTCAAAAGATAATGCCAACAACTTGTAAGTTGATCTTAACATTTTTTTGTCAACAAAAAAAATTTATTAAGGGAGTACAAAGGTATTATTCCAACCATTTACAACCTTTTTTACAAGTTTAGGAATTCCAAAATTTAAATGATGTCAAATTTAGTTTTGGAGCTTAAGTACTGTGAAATTCAAGAGCTTAAAAGTTACCATAGTAAAAATTTGAGTGCTTAGTCGTTCACTTTTTTTTTTTTTTATCTAAGTTGAAAAAAAAAGGGGCCTTAGCATTATTTATATAATTTCCCAATTACTCAAAGAAAACAGTTGATTTATTTACAATTAAATTATTTTATCGTTTAAAATTTTGAACATTCAAGTTTATAAGTATAAATTTAACTAAAAATTCGAAGGACAATGAATGAAACCTACCTAATTACCCATTACCCAAAAGGCTAAGAATAAAGGTAATGTATATTTTTACTAAAAGGATATTGGTAAGGTAAGAGCAAAATATTATTTGAAGGGCATAGATGAGAATATTACAATCCGACTCTTACCAGTCCCATTGTCATTTCAAATATGATATGATGCACGTGCCCACTAGAAGATGTCCTAATAGTTTAAATCTTGAGTTTTTATGTTTGAGATATTAAGTAGAAATCTTAAGATGTGGTGGACGGGGGTTGGGAAAGAATGAATTATTACCTATCATATAACGCATCATTTGGCACACAAAAAACAAAGAACCTCAATTTCAAATTTTAAGAATAAATATTGTAACTCAAGTGATGCATGAATTCCTTAAATTTTGAAATAATTGATTGAAAATTTTGTGTAAGGCTTGTATAATGTAAGTTATCTATACTCATTTTATTTAGGTCCATGAATGCAAGCAACAATATTTTCCATCTTTTCCCTACTCATGTTGTATTTCAATTTTTTGATGAAAGCAGTGGTCAATATTCTATAAAAAAATAAAAATCATTGCATTAATTTATTAGCCCAATTTTGTCCAATTAACTACATTGCGTTATCATTTTATTTACTAATTTTTGGTGTATATTATCTTCTTTTTTCTTTTCAGTTGTAATCAAACTTATAAAAAGAAGAGGAGGTTTTAATCAAGTCACTCAACTACATTTTCCTTCAAAACCATCTTCTTAATCAGGTAGCTTTCTACAAATTAATTCAAGTATTTCCCGCTATTTAAGAGTTTTTTTAATTTAGACAGTATACTGATAAAAAAGAAAACTCAAATGTATACATGACAAACAAATAACTGAATAAAAATTAATTAAAATGACAAGCTGAGTGATGAAAAGAGCTAGTGACAATTTTCCCAACCCTTTTTGGTCTCACTTTTTCATCCTATTAACAATTAGTTGTTCCTATATCTTGCGTTGTTTTTGAAGTTGTTGTATACACTCTAATACACATGGTGTTTCATTTTATAGGGTCTTCTTCCATGGAGCTTCTGGTAGAGCCTATCATGAAACTGGTAACGTGTTTGGGGAAGTCAGCCCGCACCTATCTAAATTATCACTTAAATTTTGATGAAGATGTGAGTGATCTAAGAAGAGAATTGGAAGCTCTAAACAGGCGGAAAGAGGATATAAAGTTAAGCATACAGTCCCACGCTAGTTTGGGAAAAGAAGTAAAACATGAAGTGCAAGGTTGGCTTGAACGTGTAGAAGAATTCAATAATGAAGTGCTAGCCATTCACGAAAAGATTCAGAGAGTTAAGTGGTACTCAAAGGGCTGTCTAGGGAAACTTGTTCGGAAGAAAATTGAGGTGGTGAAGAGAATCTATGAACAAGGTAGTTTTCCTGATGGTCTCGTAGTTGACAAGCCTCCACGAGGAATCAAATTGCCAATTGAGAATGTAGTGGGTGAAGATTCTACAAAAGAAAAAATTTGGGGATACTTGATGGGCAATGAGGTCAGAAAGATTGGAGTTTGCGGGGTTGGTGGGGTTGGGAAAACTACCATCATGAAGCATATTAATAATGAATTGTTAAGAGTGACCAATTTTGATAGGGTGATTTGGGTCACTGTGTCCTACCCACTCAATATTATCAAATTACAAGAAAATATTGCTCGCGCTATGGATGATAGATCAAGACTCCCCGAAGGTGAGGATGAAGTGAGGCGGGCAGCTGCTTTGATAAGCATTGTGGAAGGAGTAGGAAGATACGTGCTTATCCTAGATGATGTCTGGGAAGTGTTTTCTCTGATTGAAGTGGGAATTCCAGAACCAGCAATTCAGAATGGAAGCAAAATAGTCATCACTAGTAGATCCATTGATGTGTGCCAAAATATGGACTGTGAGATAGTCAAAGTGGAGCCTCTTTCATGTCAGGAGTCTTTTAACTTATTCTTAGATAAAGTTGGGCAGCATGTTCTGCAAATACCAAGTTTAGAAGGAATCTTGAAGCTCATTGTGGAGGAGTGTGGTGGCTTACCATTGGCCATTGTTGTGATAGCAGAGAGTATGAAGGGAGAAGATAATATTGAAGTGTGGAATAATGCCCTGACTGAATTACAGAAACGAGTAAAGAGTGTGACTGGTTCAGATCAAAAGATATTTAAGAGGTTAAGGTTTAGTTATGATCGTTTGAATAATTTTGAAATCCAAAGCTGTTTTCTTTATTGCTCCTTGTTTCCTGAAGATTATCCATTTCAGACAGAAGGGTTGGTAGAAGGGTGGATTGATGAAGGACTAATTGATGTGTTGCCTAGTAGAAAAGCAGCTTATGATAGGGGTCATGCCTTTTTAAATAGGCTAGTAAAGAAGTGCTTGTTAGAGAAAACTGTTGATTGGCGTGGTGTTGATGTTTTCAAGATGCATGATGTAATGAGAGACATGGCTATCAAAAGCATTGGTCCTGAATTGGGATATATGGTAACAGCTGGAATGAAAATGAAAGAGGTACCAGATGAGCATGGTTGGGGAAATTATCTTAAGAAGGTGTCTCTAGTGGGGAATAACATATCAAAAATTCCCCTTGAGTTGTCTCCAAATTGTCCAACTCTTTCAACTTTGATATTGTCAAATAATTATAATTTGTCAGAGATCCCAGAATCCTTCTTTGAAGGAATGCCTGAACTAAAGGTTCTTGATCTTTCTGAAACTGGTATTGAAGTTTTACCTAACTCCATCTCAAACTTGGAGAAGCTCTCTTCCATGAGGTTAAGGTATTGTTACAAGTTAAGGCATTTGCCTTCTTTAGCAAAGCTTACAGCTTTAAAGAAATTGAATCTGAAAAATTCCATGATTGAGGTGGTCCCTCAAGGCATGGAGAAGTTGATTAGTCTGGAGTATCTTGATTTAAGTTATTGTTACAGTCTAGAAGAGATTCCAATGGGAATGTTATCAAACCTTTCCAATCTCCAATACTTGTCAGTTTATGAAAAATTGAAGATAAAAGAAGAAGAGGTTATGAGATTAAGGAAGTTGGAGATCTTTAAAGGTGCTTTCAATGAAATACAGGGCTACAATAATTTTGTCAAGTCTCAAGTTTTCCAAATTCTTTCTGATTACGATATTGTAGTAGGAGCATCACCCTATGTTAGCCGGAGTGGCCAAAAGAAATCTATGGTTAGTATTAGTAATTGCGACTTGGGAGAAGAATGTATCCTGCTTCCAGATAACCTTCAGAAGCTGGAGATAGAGGAGTGTAGAAACATGGGAAGCAGCTTAAATAAAGCAGCTTTCTTAGAAAAGGCAACCGAGTTGAATTATTGTGGTATTAGCCATTGTGAAGATATGGAGTGTGTGCTTGACTTGGACTCATCCTCCCATCCGGTACTGGGTAAGCTTGAAAAGCTGCTTCTTTGGGAATTGCCAAAATTGAGTGTACTTGTGAGAGTGGAAGGAGTAGCAACACCACCGCACGTCTTTTCCAATCTTAAAAGGCTTATTATTTGGAATTGTTCAGGAATGAGGAAGTTGCTTCCACTTGAGCTGCTGCAGGCCTTCCAAAACTTAGAGGAGATTGATGTTTTTGAGTGCAAACAAATGGAGGAGATAATAACATCATCAGATTCAGATGCATCATCGGATAAATTCACTTTTCCCAAGTTAAGAAGATTGTCCTTGAGGAATTTACCCCAATTGAAGAGCATCTGCAGTGCCAAAGGAGTTATGGTTTGTGATTCTATTCAAGAAATTGAAATATTTAGATGTCGGAAGTTAAAGAGGATCCCAGTGCAGCTTCCCCTGCTTGATAATGGCCAACCATCTCCTCCTCCTCATCTCAGAGAAATCAGGATAGATGAAGAGTCAAAAGAATGGTGGGAATCAGTGGTGTGGGATCATAAGAACCTACTTCAACCTTTCTTGAAATATTGGTGATTGAAGGGTAAGGTGTTGATTGATTAAGTATTCAATTTCTAAAATTTTAAGAATGTTGATTTTATTATTTATTTTAATTGTTTTCCAATTCATCTCCCCTATCATTTTCGTTGTCTAATTGATCCAGAGTAAGAAGGTACTAACGGACGGCCAGGATGAGCGCCGACATTACGTTTGTGTATGTACCTGACACGTCCAAGAAGTCACGTGCGGCCCCGACTAGCACGTGTCAATAAAACCCTTCTTTTCTCCTTTTCTCCTTTTCTTCTCCATTCCAGGCCTGTTCTTTTGATTCTGAAAGCGAATGGAAGAGATCCAATTGAGTTGAGTCCAACCTCTGCTTCCCCAATTTCATCTGAGATTCTCACCAAATTGGGTATTATGTATGGAATCAAATCTCTTTTATCTATTGTATGAATTATTATGCTCTCTCTAACTCCTTTTATATTTCTTGTTCCATTTTGGTAATTCCAAAATCTACTGTAGATTTTTTGAAATGATTTGTTTCTGCTAGGATTTTTGGTGGTTGGTCTTTGTTTGTTTAGGGATTTCTTATTTTCTTAAATGGGTTCCTTTGGGAGGTATGGTTATTTTTTTTAGAGAATTCGGTAGTTGGTTCTAATAAATTTATTGAGTTGTTTAATTTGTGATAATTAGTAATTAGAATATTTAAATTAACTTTTTTTTTCTGTCTGAGTTGGAAGTAAAATCATTGAAATGAAAACATTTAGGATTTCAATTTCTGTATTATTGCAAATGCCAATTTTGCGAGTAATTCAAGGATGGCACGCAACCATGGGGGATGCTGTGAGTAAAGAATTAAATCTTTTTTGCCCTCAAAGAGCTTAAGTATCTGGATGCTTTTGTTTTCAAAAATATTTGCATCTTTAATTTCGCTATTAGAGATATGCTCTATTGAGTAGTATCATTTGCTGTCGTAGCATGCTTTATATCCTTATCTGGGTGCAACTACTTTCTTCTTTAGTGTGTGTGATGGTGATTGAGGTAAGAATTGGATGACTCAAATAAGGTAGCCTAACTGAGATAATGTAAACATTAGATGGCTTAAGTATTCAGTCTCTAACACTTGACTGAATTATTACAAGCAGGGCAGATTCTGATTGGAAGCATTAATACTTAAAAACCGATAGGAAGGACTAGGAAGTTTCAATTGATTTGGTTTCCAGGTGAAGCATAGATTTGATTTTGTTACCCTTCACAAATTTTCATGCACTGTCGTGAATTTTCTTAGAAGCCCAACTGAAGTTATTTTGTTGCTTGTCATTAGAAATTCAGGGTTTCAAAATGAGGTTACCTTCAAAGCATTTAAAATGAGCAAAGATGTAATGATGCTGGTCGTGATTCTGAAAATGAACAACCATGATGGTTTGTAAACTTTTCAATGATATTTGTTTTGATTTGATCAGTATCATTTTCCTAGTTGTTTCATTTGACTGGGGATTTATGATGTAGGTGTGATGAAATGGGGAAGAGGAAGATGCAAGTCTTGTAGAGGTAGATGTTTTGTTATTATATTTCTTGTTCCATTTTGGTAATTCCAAAATGTACTGCAGATTTTCTGAAATGACTAGTTTCTGTTAGCATTTTTGGTGGCTGCTCTTTATTTATGGGAGATTTCTTATTTTCTTAAATGCGGTCCTTCTGGATATGGTTATTTTTGTTCCAATTTTTGAGAATTTGGTAGTTGGTTCTAATAAATTTATGCAGTTGTTTAATTTTTGATAATCAGTAATTAGAATGTTTAAATTAAGGTTTTTTTTTTTTTTTTTGTCTGAGTTGGAAGTGAAATCGTTGAAATGAAAAACCATCTGTTGGCAATTTGCAGGAAGAGTCCCGGGTTCTGGTCTCTGATGAACTCCAAGTACTCTTAAGTAGTATCATTTCTGATTTTGGTGTCATAAACTCCAACTAGTGACTATTGATTTTGCTGTGTTCCTTTTCTATTTGTATCTGTGTTTTGATGCTAAATTACCCTTCAAAATTAATATTATTATTCACCCGCAATAATAATAATATAACATGCTTTTTAGTTTCTTAAGCCAAAAGCTCCATGCAAGTGAAGGTTTCTAATAAAAGTTAGGATTATTTTCAAGTCTCCTATAAGTTCTGTTTATGTTGAAGAGCAGTGCTCCAAGTCCATATAAAGCTTGTTACTGGATCCAAATTCATAGGTCAGATTTTCCATAAAAATGGCATATGGTCTCATTCTGAACAATATTTCTCTGTTTAGTTTTTTACTTTTATCTTATAATATTGCATATTCAGTTCGGAGGAGCAGGTTCATTAGCAAATATGTGGGTTTGTGATTCTGCAGCGTCGAAATCCAGTTCCCCACTAGAAGATGTAATAATTCAATTCTGAATTCTAATAATTCATTTCCTTATCCATAAGCAGTAGTGGTAGCATCATTGTCTAAATTGATTCTTATGTACATTTAATAAATTATAAACCAAACTTTCTACATTACAATCTGGAATTCATATTACTGGAGTGATTCTGATGCTTAATCTCTTCTTTCTATGGACTCTTAGCTGATTTTTTTCCTTTTCTTTCCTTTGTTTCTTTACTTATTGCAGATGCTCCTGCTTGTGCTGATATGATGGTGAAGCAATTGAAGAAGGGGACACTGATGATGATGCTAATGTTGTTGATTTTAAGATTGCTTCTAATGGTGGAAGGCAACAGGAAAAGGAGTGGGAGAGAAGGTACCAATATTTATGCTTTGTACCTTTAAGAGTACTGCTTTGCATTCTATAACTGGTCTTCCAGGTGCATAGATTTTTCAAATTTTAATCATTGTACCATCTGATTCAGCTTATCATTGATTTTAATCCTGCTGATAGTCATTTAGTTTGTTATTAAACATTGATTTTAATTCTGCACTTGATGGTGGATGAGACGTCCCTGAACTACTTCAATAACCAAAGTTTTGTTTGGATAAATGGTTTTGGTTTCTCCATTTCTGCCTCTCGTTTGCTGTCCAAATTTTAATCAAGAAACTGAAGCAGACTTACTATTACAATAATATAAGGTCTTAGGAAAAGATATCATGGTCACCAGAGCAATAACGAGGACTATGCAAAAGACTTGGTCATTATTGAATGACCTGCTTTCCTTCGGGCTTTACTAAGTATGGAGTGCTTCTAGCTATCTTTTTTGCATTTTTTTCCTGATTAATTCAAGCAATTGGAGGCTGGTACACATGGTCCTGCTATCTTAGTTAATTTCATTTTTGCCTGTTTTAGATTGTAAATAAGCTAGGTTGTAACAATCGCACTCTTTAATTGTTTGGTCTTTCAATGCAGGCCTCCTGTGGAGCTAAAAAGTCTCACTGCTCCAACTAATCTGGGATCAAAGCAAGAAACAAGACAAGCAGGGGAAAGTGCCCTCAAAGAGAAAGTATAGAAGAATCTTTCCTTGGATCGCCAGCACTCTGCAAGTAGCAGAATCAGGAAACCCTTTCATGGAGAGACATCAAACTCATAGCAACTTTGAACACTGAACACTCAGAAAGACAATCTGGGAAAGCGAGGCATCTTATCATTCTTAGAAAGAGTTGACTTGGGCAAAAGTTTCTGCTTCTTCCTAGCCGTCATTCTTCACAATTGGTTACATTCTTTCTTTTGGTTGGACAATACTTCTAATTCATGTTCATCTACAATTTTTAATGGGAAATCCAAACTCCAAAGTAGGCTATTTGCCTCCGGATTTCCACCTTTCTTTGCTAGCTAGGATGCAGTTTGAAACAGCTTTTGTAAATAACCTCCTTTAGGAATATACAACAGATTTCAGAGACAAAAAGAGTGATAATATACATGATCTATGTTCAATCTCACTTGCATGATTTTCAACCATCTTTTATCATGTTGGTTAGCTTACTCAAAACATACTTTTGTAGCCGGTATTTTGCACCTGCAAAGGTGAGTTGTAAGGCAACTTTGTAGAAATTTCAATTGTGCGGTAAAGCATGGTTGTTTCGACAAAAATTAGCTGTTAGCCACAACAAACTGATGCAGTAAGATATAGTTAGTTAACTTCTCCATCATGGCATACAACTAACTTAGAACTTTGTCGTGTGGGGAGGAATTTAAGAAAAGGAGAGGATTATTCTCTCTTATATATCTTATTATTATCAGATATACAAAAAAAAATTAAATTAAAACTTTAAATGATGATCCCCCTGCACTGTTTGCAACTACGTGTGCAAGGATGAGATCAACTTTAACAATAGCTTGGAGATCATCGGACATCTCTAGTATCTAGGAAACTGATGTTTAGTTGACCAAAGATCAATAACTGTAAGATCAGTTAAGAAAAATTGATTTAAATCAACATAAAACTCAAGATAATCTTGAGAAACATATAAAAGAAGAAGAAAATAACATAAACTGAGTTAAAGATGATGCTCAAATTTTACCATTGATTTGCTATATGTTTTTCATCAATTCTGGTATATTTTGTACAAAACAATGCCAATCATATACAGTGTTTACCTAATACATTTGACAAATGATATAAACCCTTTAAAGCAAGAAGCATGTAACATGGAGACAATTAAAGCCAAATCATATATCTAAGTGCAGCACTTCACATCAATGAACATGAGAATTACATTGAAAACCAAACAAAGAAACTTCTCGGCAACTTGATGAAACTGAACTGAACATGAACAGTATATGTGAACAGTAACCTTGCTGCGTCGTTCTATTTATCTTCAACATATCAGTCTGCTTATTGATGTGAAATGGAAAATATGTCCCTTATGAGGTTTATAATCTCACTGATTTAAAATAAGTGCATGCTCACT